GCAAATCATCTCACAGATCCTCAGTTATCTTGTAACTCCTTTCACAGTCCAGAATTGTGAACCACAGTTATAAAAAAAAATGTCATAAAGCAAAACCCACAAATATGAGGCATCCTGGTGGCCTAAGGCCCTGAGACGCTGACCATGCAATCACAACAACCTCAGATCCAGTTCAGCGTGGCATTCTTCCGCTCTACCCTCATTTCCTGTCACTTTTCAACTGTTCCGTAGCCAAATAAAGGTAATCATGCCCCCCCAGAATGCTTTCCTTTGCACAGACTCTCAAAAAATGTCCAGAATTATGCCAATGATTTACCTGGCCAGTGAGTAAATGTGCAAACTGACAGATCAAGAAAGACAGCAGTTGTGGAGATCAAATCTTGCAGCTGGTAAACATAAAATCTCAAACTCCAGCAGCCTTTAGATTGATAAGCAGTCACTGCAACCTATGTTCTAGTATATTCCTGATCCCATAGCCTAGGCTGCACAAGCATCCCGTCCCCAGGCACCTCATTAGATACTAACCATGAGAGATATAGTCTACTGAGAAAGCAAACAGGAGGTAAGATAAAAGATAAGGTAAGACAAAAGAAGACTAGGTCTGAGTTTTAAAAAATCTACTGTAAGGTAGTTTCCAGAACTTCAGGTTAGACTTTCCTTCTCGAAGAATGGCATCATATTTCATGTGATGTGATTGCTCTAAATACAGCTGTTGTGCTAATCCATCAAGAGCTGTCTCCAACACTACTATCCAATATGTTACACTTAAATCTCTCTTTGACACAGCAGCACTGCTGCAAAACAAAAATCACACTGCTCCTCAATTTCAGGAATCAAAAGTAATCAGCTGCTGATAATGAAGTGCATCTTATAAACTAAGAAACCACCTCAACGAGAAGACAGCAAGATCTCAGACCAGTTGCTTTTAACTTTTATAGAAAATGGCCAAATGGAACTGGAAATCAAAGATAATGCATCTTCTCAGACCGTTCAAAGCCAACCAGTGGTGAAGAGATAAAGCTAACATGTCTTTTCCCTTGTGTACCTCCAGGAAGCATCATACCTGCTCTCTTCTCATGGCCTCCATTGAGAAGAAGAAGGCGTCAGAGAGGGGGTGAATGTGAGAGAGTGTGTATGTGTGTGCGTTTGAGAGAGAGAGAAGGAAGAGGGAGGACAGAGAAAGGGAGAGAGAGCGAGAATGTGTCGAACAGACGGTTCCTCTTTTCCTTTTCTTTCCCCGCATGCACATTCACCTCGTCGGTCATGTGACCTGGTGGCTCCCTCTACCGGTCCTCTTCTTCAGAGGGTCTCCACAGAGCATGCTCAGTCAGTTCAAGCTGTAACACTGCTCCATTGCTTTAATGTGGAAGGCCTCATTGCCACTGAAGATATCCACCATAAAGTCACTAAGACTGGAGAAATACATTTAAAAGTCCAGCAAAATCTACACCCAACTGTTTGGCTCTCACATTTCATGTAAAACCATTCGTCAGCTGTAGTTTTTCACAAATAAGTCAGAATCACTCACTGATTTAAAAAAAAAATACTGTTACTGTTTTTCCATATTACCATTCTACTACTGCTACCAGCTACTTTTTAGCTGTTGCATTTGTGTTGTTCTGGTCTTTTTTTTCCCAATGTAAAATGGAAATTGTGTTGGTCAATCAAATTTTGAGAAGAAAAAAATGATGTCATAGCCAAAGTACATGCACAGCCACTTCAGGAGCACCAAGGGAAACAAAAACATATAGAGTAGAATGATACAATCTCCAGAATCAAACCAGATGACACAGAGGAGTCTGACGTGGCTAACTATTTCCATTGTGGAGATCAGACCCCACCCAGACCTCTCAACAGGAGAGTCTTTTGTCTCCACTGAGCTACGGGCCAATGAAGGCAGCAAAATGCAACTATGCAAGGCCATGCAACACATAATAAAACTGCTACTTCTGAAAAACACTTCCAAAAACAACTACAAAAAAAGGGGAACAGATACAGTAAACTGAGCTGGAACCAGCACATACCTGACATCTTTTGCATAATTAATGACAAACAATTATCATTAGAATTGAAGAGGTTTGTGACTTCTCAAAGTGACGAGATTTCTCTCCAGGGGATGTGTTAGACATGGAGGAATGCAGTTGTACTGATGTTGGTGGCTTCTCCTGTTTCACAACTGAATGAGGACAAACAGAATAGCCCTGACATATGATCTCAGGTTTATCAACTTTCAGAAATTGCTGCACAAAAAAGGAGAAGTTCGTCCCAGTGTTTCCAGCAAGTAAAAATTCAGAAAAATCCATCAGATACTGTACAAGAGAGGTGAAAAAGCCACCAGGGTGTACAGAACCCATTCACAGTGTTCAACAGGAATAGTTGGTTTATAAGGCATGCAACACTCAAAACACACAAAAGGACACCACCCATAAACAAAGAACAATTCACCTGAAAGAGAAGCTACTGCTGACAATAACAGTGCTGTATCCTGTACATAACAGGGGTGTGATGATACACTTAGCCCAAGAGACGAGAAGATACACGATATTGGGTTCATGACCTGAACTCTTTGCAGTTTTTAGACATGCTACCAGCAATGCACCAGGAACGGCAATGCAGTCTGTCCATTGGTCCACCACTTCGGTCCTAAGTGCTCATATAGAGCCGAAGTAAAACTGGAGTGTCCGTGTTGTGCTCTGAAAGAAGGAAAACCCTATTCAAAATCCAAATGAGATTTCTAATCTGGCCAATAACTAAAAAGCCAGCCTGGGAACACTGCTGTTTTCAATAGTATGCTGTGAGTTTCATTACATTTGCTTACACTATGGTATGGAGTTTATTGTGGAATGTATCAGATTTGGCTTTTCTCAGCTTCTTCTGTGTTGTTCCAATGCAAGCAAAAGAAATAAACACGAGAATACCAAAGAATTTGTGATTGCAACCATTTTTTGGAAGAAATGGTGTGTTATCTGAAAGAAGTTCAGGGGTGCCAATATTTTGGGGCATGACTGTATTTCTTTGAAACAACATATTATTGACACTAATGCAATATTTTTGTTTTTCCCAAGCTTTAATGAACACATTCATCCGTGAGGATGAACTGTTCCCACTTTGTGGCATGCAAAATGTTAACTTTTCACACAAGGTATCTCATAATCTAACAGACCACTATAAAGTTTGATGAACAAATTCAATATCCCAAAGGGATAAACCCATGACATCATGGCCTTTCCTGTAGCCAACTGCTGGTAAAACTCTCGAAAACCAAGATCATCAGTACGTTTTGTTCCTCATGGTCATTTAAACTGCTGGAGTGTAATGAACACTACACCCTCTAGAAGCTGTAGGGTGCAGCATTACACCTTTACTCTGTTGCTAAAGATTTCAATGATGCAGTTGTTTTCTTTGTTACCCACAAAAGCTATGCTGCATTTCCACTATTGCACCTCTTCGCCCCTTATGTTCCTGGTACTTGATTATAGTATCCTGAGGGGTGCCGTAATTTAGCTCCTAGAACGTACCTCCAAAGCAGGCCAAGTGTAGTGGAAACAAACGCAGAACCTGTGACAAGCGTTACTTGGCATGACAAGTTTCAGTACATTCCTACAATGAAAAAACCCTGTAAACTAATGTTTTCAGCAGTTTTGTGACTACTAAATAAAGTTGGCCCTGATCCCAATCAGAATTAAGAGAGGGATACTGGGTATCTGCCAACCAAAGGACAGAGGCACACCAAACCAACGTGACAGAACGAGCAGCGACGTAGGCCAACTGTTGTCACCTCGGGTCACCTTTTTCTGGGCCAGTTGGGTCAAAAAAGTGGCACTTGGAACACACACGCACAGACTACAGCCAACAGCCAACTAGCATGCATGTTCTGCATCTGCATGAGAGACATTGCTCTCCCTGCCAGCAAGTAGCATTATCTGGATTTGCCAATCAGAAAGGGAAAGAAGTGTTATCTGCGGATATACAAGCTTTAAACAAAGCAGCTCATATTCACAACAGCTACTGTTTATAGCTGCTTCTAATGGAGAAAAAAGTACACCTGCTAAGACGTTACAGATGGAGATGTCATTCTCTGTCCTTGGTCTTTTGGTTATGGAAGAAGAAAGGAGGCTGTGGAGGCAAAAAACAAGGAGAAACTGCACTAAATGGGTGAAATCACAGATACTACAGTGACAGTCTCAAGGAGCTTTCCTGAACATTTCTCTTCTCGTGCGTTGATTCACCTAGCTTAACAGCTAATCAACGTAGTCTGCTACCAACTCAGCCTGCTGAATCAGGCAAAAAGCCTCCGCTGACAAGGTCCGACTAATGCCAATGGTGCAGGACACACTGCAAAGACAAGGGCAGCACATATTTACCAATGGCCCGACAGTGGCCGATGGCTAACTGTTGGCTTGGAGTGTCACGGGCCAAAGAGCTGATCGATCACACTGCAAAGCACCAACATTGGGTTTCACATGATCTGCGATCGGCAAAGCAGTGAACTCAGATGAGTCACGCTCTTCTGCTTCTATGCAGGAAGACATCACCGCTGTTTGCATCAGTTATTTTTGGTAATTTTAAGACAATACTTGATTTGTTAAAGTTCACAACCTGCCATGATGTTATCATACATTTCTCCAAGTACAATAACACAGAAAAAAAATTAGGTGATTCAGTCAGCAAAATGCGAGTAGACTGGGGGCGTCTCACCTGATAATTCAAAATAAATACAACTGCAATTCAGTGAAATGCAAATGAAATATATGGCACTTACTTTAAACACTAAGAGAATGTTTAAGGCCTATAAAACAAAGATCTTTCACAAAAAAAAAAAAAAAAAAATTAAATAAGCCTCTGAAAAGGGGCTAAAAACTTGTGAATTCCCAGATTTATGAATATTCAAATCTACACTAAGGAGCCTGGGCATCACACACTGCCCACCAGCAATGCTTCCCCAAGGTATACCAGTGAAATCACTGTGTATCAGGATATGATGGAAGGATTGAATATTGGAGAGATTCAGCCATATACGTTTGAGCTTTGCTCAGACCCACACTCTGATCAGGAGTTTGTCTGCTGTTCACAAGGATCAGCAATAGAAACATGTCTGGGTCTGCCTCCTCACTGCGAAGGAGACAGTCCCAGGTGGGGCCAGCATCTGTTAAGTGTGGTTAGAAGAAGCAGCTTTATTTTATTGTCATTGTAACATGTACAACGAAATTTTGTTTGGAGCCAAGGGCCACTGTGTGCATACGCACCACCATCATGGGCAACTTAGGGGGTTCAGTGTCTTGCCCAAGGACACTTCGACATGTGGACTGCAGACACCAAGATTCGAACCTTCAACCTTCCGGTTGGAAGACGACTGCTCTACCCAACGCACCACTGTCACACCAGTGTCTTATTTCTGTAGAACATTAACCGTTAGCTTGTAACTAGTGGCTAAAGCTCCGGGGGACAGTTTACATCAAAAAAACTGCGCAGTCTGACATATTTGCTGTCAATATATAAAACTTCCACTCCCACTCCTGGTCACTGACAAGTTGGTTCTGACTGCTCTAACACCATAAGTTTCAAGTTTCTCACCACATTTTGTTTGGTCATAGATGTTTGAACCTCTGAGTTCAGGGAAGCAACCAGACGACTGTTCCCTTCCCTTCATCAAAGTAATGTAAAAATAGCCTGCAAGTGTTAAGCCTGCACATACACTAGGCAGTACAATGCAGGGCAGATATTTGTAGGGTATAAAAATCTCTAATCAATACAGTAATGTGAAACTATGGCCTCATTAACAGGTACTGATTTTTGGAATTTGAGAAATAATTGATATTCATAGAATGTATGAATTTGGAGTTGTTTAAAAATGCCTTTAATAGAGCTGACAGCTGAATAGCAAGAATAAAATAATAAGTAATGTAAAGCATTTTTGCTGCAGAGTAATTAAAATGCAATTGATTTTTCAATGAGTAATGTGCATTCAGTAATTAACTGCAGTTTTCAAGTAACCTGACCAATAATGATCAGGGCTCTGCCTAATGAATTAATGAAGCTGAACTCTTATACTTTGTTACAGGTATAGGTATTGTAAATTATGTCATCTGCATGGTGGAGTGTTGTTAAACATTAAGGCTGGTACTGTACATGTACCATGAGAGGATGACCTCTTAGTTTATGTGTGGACAATGCAAATTAAGTCAGTCTATAACAAAGGTTCTATCACGCAGGAAGTAATGTGTTTTCCACTTTTTTTTATAATGTCAAGAATCGAAATCAACAACAATTTCTCTGTAACTGGTAACTATTTCAACTTTTCTTATGACTGAAATAAACTGCAGGGTCTGAGACAATTTTGTGCACCAGAAAAAAAAAAGTATCTGTCAGTGAGAGGTGGCAACAAAGCAAACATACTGATCAAAGATGAGGGTAAATAGTGGTTCAGAAGCCTAGCTCTAGGCACGTATGCATGAACAAAACAGATCTACAGATAGGGAGACTGAGGGCACTTGTGCCTATTGGTAATTAGGGCTGCAATTACCTGCCATCTACCTTTGTCAGAAAATGTTTGTCAATTTTGCTTGGAAAGCAACTGAAACAAAGAAAGAAACACAGGGACAGCAACTGAAACAACTGATCACTTATTAAACAGATTCATTTAGGCCTTGAATCAAACATGCAACACCCAATAAGTAATGTAAATTTCAGCAGTAAAAAAAAAAACATCTCAGTAGAAATATTTGATCAGATAAAACCAAATCCATCTTCTCAACCGCATACCACAAGGATCTGTTAAGAATGTCATGAGGTTTGTTTTTTTTTTTGTAATTTGGGTGATCTGCCCTTAAGGTCACCCACTGTGCGTGTCAAACGCATCCTCATATCACACAATACAGAATGATGAGTGCAAACGGAAGTGGCTGCAAACCTCTATGCCCTACTCCTTTCTTTACAAACCTCTTATATACTCTCAGCAAGCACATCACAGCCGCTGTTCGAGCGACCTCTGCCGAACAAGACTGGATCGTAGCTCTCGAAAAAGGAAAAAAGAAACAAAGACTGAAGCTCTGAAACATTTGCACATCTCTGAGATAAAGTAACCGAGCGATCAGTTTTGTCCATCTCTCTGATTAATCCTTAATCTAACAGCAAAACAATGCAACTTGTTATAGCTTGCCGTCGACAGGTTTGCACCGAAAGAAAACATGACAATAACTGCACATAGCTAACACAGACAAGGCGAAACCAGGAAAATAATATCTGATAAAATTTGACTGTGTAAAAAATAATTATGTTAAGAGTATGAATATTGGCTTAAGAGCTGGCGCCATAAGTGTACAGTAAAAGGTCGTAGCAGCACTACCAATGTTGCCTTCCTTTGACTGCATCAATTATCATGTAGCGAGCAGGCTGCACAGCACAGGGAGGATAACATTATCAGCCGGACATTTAGCCGTAATGTTCCAGACTACACTGTGACTAGTTTCTGTCGTTTAGAGAAGACGATAACCTCAAAAATCTCTTTTTGTGTGCATTTAAGAAAGTGACCACATTCTGCTAAGTGGCACCACTGCTAACTAGCAGCTAGCTAAACAGCAGTGTACAATTTAGCCATCAGCGAGCCGGTACTAGGCAATACAGCTAAAACCATAATAATGTAATAATGTCTGTTAAAAATGCATGCATATCTATCTGAGGTTTATTTTGAATCGCAAAATCGCTGGACAGAGGCAGGACAGTGACATGAGCCTGGGCCATGTATGATCAAACCCCGAAAAAGAACCTCCAAAGCGCCCGCATGGACTATTCAGGTTCCGGGGCGCAGCATCTTCCTGCACATTCAGTTGCCCTCCGGTCCCGCACAAAAGCAAGACACTCAAGACTGGAATGTACAACAAACTGACAACACGACACCAACAATTTGCCCGTTTATAAGGAGGTTCTGGCTCCCAGGCGGAATATAGCTAGGAAAACTGTGCGAAAGTAAGACAAGCTTGGCATAAGGCTCACACACTCACCTCGGTCCCTACCGAAGCCATGGTGCCTGGACGTAAACCCCGCCCACCAGCGATTACGTCACAGTTATTGGTTTGCAGACGTTGTAATACCACACCTGGATATCAATATTGTCAGAAATAATATTAATACCCTAATTATAGCAGCCTATAAATATTAAAATAATAGAGAAGTGAATTATGTAATAACAGAAAAAATGCAATTCCAAAGTAAAAAAGACAGCACAATTAAGTGGCCTAGCTACAGTATAGCATACTGAAAATGATAGCCTACTACAGTAGACTAAAGGCACCACAATAGTCTTTTATAGAATCAAATGTATCCAAATACAAACCCACCACCAAATTCAAAACACAAGACTGGAGTCAACCATCCCAAACTGACTGATTTTCAGTCAGTGTTTCTAACCTCACTAGATAATGTTGTGAAACAGGACAGCACTGGTGTGATCACAGCAGAACCTTACAAAATATATTTTCATGAACAACTACATGGCACAAAGTATGTGGACATACAGACATTATAAATTTTGAAACCTAGCTCAGGAGCCACAAGAGTCTCACGAGCATTAGAGTAGTCAGCCACTGATGCTGGGTGGTAAGACCATGGGTCCCAGAAGGCATGCCACTTCATCCTAAAGGTGTTGGATGGGGTTGAAGTCAAGGTTCTGTACAGACTAGTCATGTCCCTCCACACCAAACTAGGAAAATCATTTATTCATGGACCTGCATGGCTTTGTGTACTTTGGCATTGTCATGTTGAAACAAGGTACCTCTTCAAAACATTGCCACAAAATTGAAATCATACTATGTTATAAAATATCATTGTTTGCTGTAGCATTAATTTCCCTTCACTGGATCTAAGGTGCCCAAACTACAGCAACAGACACTGACCAAAATAAGACAGGTTAATTTCACAACTGGTGGACTGAAGGAGGTGTTTGACCAGATTACTTCAAAAATCACATCTGCCCAGTCCAATAGTTATTACCCTGAAGGAACCATACCATGCACGCACAGACTCCTAACATACAAAGAAACCACACTGAGCGACATCAGTTTCCTAGTTAAAGTTTGGCTCCTGTGACTGATAAGACTGCACATCACATTCAAAACTAACAAAAACTTGGAGGCCGAGAAGTGGAGGCCATTAAAAAAATTGCTCCAGGCCAACACACGAGACAACAAAACCAACGTGAGCCCTTGCTTAACTTCTGTCTAAATATTACCCCAGCTTTTTTATGGACAGAAACAAATGTGCCATGCGTTCACCAGTTTGCCTGGTGTTAGCAGCTAACTTGTTGATTTCATAGGTGTTTGGTGTACTTTCACTACATGTATCTGTCATAATAGATATAGTTCATTTACAGATTAAACTTTACATAGAAAAACATCAAAAACATGTGATGAACTTATAAAATATGATGCAATTTTGAAACCTGACGTTAACTTAGTTATAAATTACAGCCCCACCTTGAACAGCTGCCTTTAAAGCATTGCTTATATGTTAATGCATCAGTAATAACAATCCAGTGGTGTAACAATACACACAGTTTTACTTTTACCTAATGTAATATATAAGGAATTCAAAAATATCATTCATCTGAAATAAAGCAATCCCTAGAATAGCAACATGGCAAGTCAGCAATAGAAAGCCCAAATAACAATTTAAGGAATATTAAGTTCAGTCATTCTGATTAGATGTGTCATTAAACAAAAGCATTGTAACACCTGCTACACCCATTAATTACAGTCCTGCCTATAAGCTACCAATGATCTTCAGGCAGTGGAAGACTAATAAACTACTGAAGGCTGTTTTGGTTGTCAAATCATTGTCCAGAACTGAACATGGGGATCTCCTCTTTCTAGCTTCCAGATGCAGGGCCAGCATGTTTGTCCTCCAGTGTCTCTTGTCAACTTGTACTATAAATAGCTAGTGTTTTGATGCTACAAACTCCTTTGCTGGAGAAGTGGGGTTAGTCTTTTTGTTTAATATCTTTTCTCCTGGTTTTTCCTTATTTAGGAGTTTAGTTAAGCTTTATGTCTTTTGTATGTTTTGTTTTTGGATAAGATAACACAAAGTGTTTAAGCTAGTTGGGTTTTTTTATTTTTATTTTGGCTGGACCCACCCTGAAGAGATGGCAAATATTACTTTTCACTCTTCAAGTTCATTCCTGACCTTGGAAACAGGGTCCATACTGTTCTGGATCTTTTGATCATATCATAGGATCTTCTTCAGCAAATGGAGTTGTCCTGTTGTCTTGGAAACATAGATGTTCACATTCCTGTGAGCAATTTAAGAATAGAATAGAAAGAAACCATTGTTAATGTTGTGAGTATAATAACACCTTGCATGCTTTTCCTAGTATGGCAAGTCTAAATGTGTCCTGGGAGTCCTATTGCTTACTTCTCTGCATTAAGGACATACTTTTATTTCACTTAAATGTTATTATACTTATTTTCATTTTTATAATAAGCAATCAAGCTATTACAGCCATCACTATATAAAAACACATAACATACTGAATGATGACTTGTGGAATATGAACCCAGCAGTGCCATGATCAATATGACAAATCAATGATAATAATTTGTTTAAAAATGTACAATAATTACACTAATATTGACAACAATGTAAAACTCCCGGTTGAATTACACTATAACACTTATAACACCAGTTTCCTTATGATAGTGAGCACCGGCATTAAGATCAGAGGTTTACATTTTACTAACACATTTCACTAATGCCACATTAAGGCTGAGATACAGCTAGAAGTCTGAAAAGCCTCACATGACTATACTAGTCTGGAGGGATACATTTCAGTCTGGTTATTTAAATCTGCTTTATAAAACAATTTCCTGCTAAAAGACCTGACCGTAAACAAGGTTTAATGAAACCTTCTGCTAGATCTCATTGCCATGTCTCTTACCACCAGGTGTCCTCCTTGGCTTCGTCTTCCTCCATAAGAGTTACACTCTCAACTTATGTGAATTGTTCTCCTCCATTTATTCATGATACCTAATTAATTTCCTCTTTTTTCATTTCATGCTATCATGTTCTCTCTTTGTGATTTCAGCATATCCATCTGTCAACATACATTTCTATGAGCTGACAGTTCAACTGGACACATTGTAAATAGCTACCCCAGTGAATCGAAAAGAAAGGGAGAAAAAACAACATTGGCTCATTTCCATATATCCGAAATTGAAATGTTTCTATAGTATCCAATAGCAAACCAGTACGTTATACTTTTTTTTTAAGTAACTGGTGCAGAGGAAATTAAGAAAAAGAAAACAAACAAATCTAAAGACAGCACAGCTATAATTAACATCTGAATGAATATAATGGTAGATCATTGTTTAGATTATATTGTAGAAGAGAAGAATGTGGCAGTGCACAGTACAATTGAGCAGCCTACTTACAAATAATGACTGGTTTTTAATCATTTGAAAAATATATCAAAATGTAGACAATTAATATCTCAAGAGTGTGAGGTTGGTTCATGCAAATAAAAATATGGCCATCTTATGCAATGTGGTGTGTTGTTAAAGATGACACTGCACCACAGTTGGGCTGCCATGCATTTTAATGCAAAGCACGGTGAGTTTCAAGCTATTTGCCAACCACCAGCAGAGGGTGCAAGCGCAACAAATTCTATGTGAAGTGTTTAAATCCAGAAGGCGAAGAAGTAGTCTGCGTGGTCGGTATCCGGTAGAATCGTTTTTGGTTCAGGTGTTTGGGCAACCCTAAAGCCGACGGGTACGAGCGCCTCGTTTAAAGCACTTTGCGGGGAAAGGCGCGTATGCTTCGTTACATGACGGGCTCCTGGTACGGTTAGCTGAACCGGCTGACGCTGCGAATTTAAGGCTAGATAAGTCGCACACAACCTTAGCCACGGCTTTAACTTATAGTTAGACAAACGTTAGCTAAAAGTCCGACATGACACAACAAGCTGCTGCTCTGCAGACCTACAACAATGAACTTGTTAAATGTAAGTGACTGTTATTCCAGTACTTAGCTAATTTGGTACGTTAGTCTTTGAAAATTGCCCGAAGGTGACAACTTTGGCGGTGCTGTGAACAGTTCTGTAATGACAGTTAGCTACGGTAAACTTCCAGAATATTTGCCCACAGACAGGGAAGATACTTCGCAGTCTTAATTGGGACCTGCCAGCTACTCTGGCTAGCAAACGGGGTGATACTGTACAATCTGATTAAAATACGCAGATGGAAACCAGCTTTAACTCTTTGCAGATCACATACAACCAATTTATTTGTGGTAACAACTCAACAGCCAAAGTTATCTTAGTTTTCGAAGGAATGAAAAATAGTACCGATTTAACACGTTACCTGATCAACAGTAGCGGTGTGACTACATGAGCCCAACTCTAGAATAATCAAACAGTCCAAAACTCGAAGAAAATCAGTGGACAATTATAAAGAAGAAAAACAAGCAGCAACTCTTCACATAAAAAGCTAGAACTGAGTGTCATCTGTATTTGATAAGCAACTTACTTGGTGTTGAATTTCTTTGTTAGGCTAATTGAAAGACTAAAATGATTTTCCTTTGATGCGTTTTTGAAATGTGTAGTTTTCTGATTTGTTTTACTAACAACGCCATCATCCGTCACTGGCCTTAAGCTGATCATGTGAGGCTCTGGTGTAGTAAACCCTTTGTCTCCATTAGGTATCGAGGACCTGTGCTCCAAGCGGGATGAGCTGAACCGTCAGATCAAGCAGGAGGAAGAGGAGAAGGAGCGGCTGCAGCATGACATCAGCGTCCTGTCCGAGAAGCTGAACAGAGTCAACGAGAGCCTGGCGCAGAGACAAGCTGCCCGAGCCACCTTTAATCGCACCATCAAGGAGACAGAGGCAGCATACAGCAAGGTGTGTGTTTCCACTGTTCCACAACAGCCGTTGTTGAAGTATTTATTAAAGTTTTTGGACCATTTTAATCCACTGATTTTGCTTAAGCACGGAATAGGTGAGAGTTTTCTGTTTTAGTTTCAGGTGTCCAGAAAATGTAAAAAAAAAAAACAAACAAAAAAAAACATGGTCTTATGCTGAGTCCAAAGGGACTCCATTAAACTTTTCATAAAAAGGGTTATTGGCTCCAGAATATCCAGAAAAACCCATTTTTCTCCATTTGACTTGACTTGAAAACTAGAGGTTTGACCCTCTGGTGGCTCAAAAGACATCAGGTAGAGTAGCTTTAACCCAATGGACCAGTTGCTGTTTCGTGGCCTGCTGATGGCAGCATGCAAAGCTTCCTAACATGTTGATAACTAGATGTTGATGGCTACTGGTGTGAGCTGGTGGTGTCATACACAGAAGTGTATAGTGAGGTAGCTGATGAAGCTTGTAGAGCTGCAGCTGTTAGCAGGTCAGTCAGGTGACAGAAAACTAATTGTAAACTGATAATGAAAAGAAATATTACTTGCAGCCCTAGTGGGTTTTGTGAGATACTGGTAGTGCTGGCAATATGCTGATTAGCTTAGTATATTAGTTAGCCCAGGTAGCTGCAGGTAAAAAGAGAGGTTATTTTGGTGACACTGGAACACTCGAGCCTTCTCAGTATGGTGGGCCCAGCTCAACCAAACACTGGCTACTGGGAAGGTGCCCATCTCATGACTTGTAGTCTCACCTGCACCACACACAACTTCATACTGAAAGCATTTTCTTCATCAGTAAGACAGGTCAAGGGGACAAGGTTTCTCATACAAAAGGTGTAGATAATTAGCGGCTGCTTGTAGACTGGTGGTGCTAAATAAACAGCCATAGCATTCTGTCAAGCCACTTAGGCCAACTAATATTAGTTAGCCTAAGCAGATACAATGCAGATAAAATGCTTTAACTTGTCTTTAAACTTATGATGCTCTAAAGGCAGGTTAAGTCAGGGGTAGAGATGATGGCAAAGGGTTCAGTAGGTTTACAGTGGCACTGATTCCCATTATACAGCCTTACCTTTGGTCAGATTATCTTTTAGTCCTGGCTTCCATAGGAATATTCAGCCAACACAACATGTGTACCGTTAACAGACCAGTGAAGTGACTATGCTGCTTCTTGGCCAGTGTTTTTTCGTGGTGGTTTGTTTGTACTTGAGTTAGTGACGCACCATGCTGTTGTTCTTCTGCAGCACTTCTGTCTCACACAGGCACGTTCCACTTACTGATGCTGAACTCCCTGAGTACTCGCACTAATCACTGCAAACAAACTCTCTAAAGCTGCTCTTATTAAAAAAACAAGGCAGTGCCTAGCTCCCTTTTAAATAACTTGGAGCACATACCACACTATCAACTGTGCGTGGTCTAGGTAATGTTTTACTACTTCTGCTACTAATTGTGAGTTTCTTTCTCTCCTATAGATCCTGGAGAGTTCGCAGTCTCTTCTGAGCGTCTTGAAACAGGAGGCGGGAAACCTCAGTAGAGCTACAGAGCCTCGGAGGAAGGAGCACTAGGAACTGTTGCTCCTTTTGACCACAACCACACGTCTCACTCTGACTCTGCACTTTTTATGCAGTTTGGACTATTTGTAATATATCTTACTGATCAATGGTAAATTCTTAAATCCAATAAATGTTTCATGTCACTGCTGTGATTCTTTATTTTAAACAAAACACAACAGGGCAGATGTTTTCATTTCCAATTTAAACTTACTGTCAGATCTCATCAGTGCAGCATCTAAAAGGTATTTCCCAGGATGGAAATGATGCATACACAGTATTCACATTTGTGAAAGTTTTCTATTTATTGAGCTTTCATTTGTACAAGTATGACATCACTTAGCTTTTTTTTCTTTTAATTTGTTCAAATCATTTGACAATAACTTTACAATAAGCACATCTGCTGCGATGTAAATGTCACCGACAAGGGGAAAATGAAATGGAGTCACTCCAGCGTGACCAACATAAGATGCTCAGTTTGCAATAGGAGGAGACAGGTGGGAAAAAAACATGGACAGAGGTGATGCCCAACATCCTCGCCTCTCACCCACATGCACACTTCAGAAGTCAAGTCATGTGTTTCTATGTAATGGCCATCAGAGAAGTTCTTGCTGGTGCCAGTTAAGACAATCAGTGCAGTTTCCCACAATTCAATCTTTGGTCCTTCAGGTTACAGAAAAACGGAACAAAAACATAATTCCCACAAAGAGTAGACGTCCTCTTTGAGGTTTTGGTTGAAGGCAGCAGTGACCACAGATGGGTCATCTGACCACAGCTCACCAGCCGGTCCGAGCGAGACTTTCAATGAGCCGAGCTCATAGTGAAGGACAATAATGTATCATGGATGTTTCAGCTCCATATCTACAAACCATGTGCACTTTGCAGGTTTGTTGATTATTATCAAATGCATTCCTTGAAGTTTCCAGCTGTTTCAAGCAGCTGTTGACTTGTATTTATACACAGCCAACTTGACAAGTTAAATATTGTGTTAAAGTGTTTTTAAATATTTTTCCAAAGAAAGGTTTTTCAAATGACACCCAGCCATAAAGCTTTATGTTGGAATGATAATGGAACTTAATGTACACTGCAATCATACAAGTGTTGAGTGTTCTTGAAGGATTTATGTATTAGAAATACATTCAAATTTCTAAAAGACTAACATGGTTTGCTAATATTTAGCAGTGATAGAATCTATATGCAGTTTATGGTCAAAGGTCAAGAAAAAGCCAGCATTCGAGAGTGGAACATGCAAACATGTCTGCCTCAGAGGGTGCCATGTTGATCGAAGGGGTAAAATATACACAGGTATGGTCCTTCAAAGGGGGAGGGGGGGACTTCAGGACAAAGACGAAGCCCTGTGTAGAACGCTGCAGTGGGTCTGTTTACAATTTGTCATCACAGCCACAAGGCCCCGCAGTCAAGCTGTGGCAGAGTAACAGAGTGGTCATTGCATTCATCGGCAGTGTATTCATCATGTAACTGAGGAGCTCTATTCCAAAATGCTATTCATTCATACTGTTAAAATCATTTTGTACAAAAAGAAAAAAAAAAAGTTACTCCGCCATCCAACGGCTTAAAATTCGGATTCCTATTGTATCTGACGTGCATTCAGTGGTTGTATAGTAACAGTGCTGATTGTAGCCATTGTTTTGAAACAACTCAACTGGACTTCTTGTGAGTGCACATTTCCCCTGTTCCTCCTCATGAGGTGCAAAACAAAGCAAAATGACAGTGCAAAGACATTTAACATCCAAGACTCCAGACCAAACAAATCATTCCTAAATTCATCAGACAAAGGCCAAATTGAACCTGAACAAATTTCATCTGAATGGAGAACCACAGTGAATCTTGGTGGAAACTGTACAACAATACTGGCTGAAGGACCTACCCTGGGAGTATAAAGAACGAATGTGAGGCTGTTGCGGCAACACTTTAATCAGTTGGCATTGTGAGTAAAAAAAAAATCATCTGGAAACTTGGTGCATTCTGGTATATTAAAACAAATCAAAATAAAACAAAAAAATCACTACATATTCTTCCACACACACACACACACAATGTTCCATTGACTCTCCCAAACATGCAATATCATCATCATCACTGTTTCCTTCATTACTTCAAATGGACCAGCTTCTGTCGCTGTGGAATGTCAAAGTACATGAGGTCTGACTGGGGGTGGTGGGGCTGTTTACCCTTCTGGTTTCTTCCACTCCAGCAAATGTCTTTACAAAAAATGTTTTGTTTTTTTTTTGTTGTTGTTTTGTTCTTGTATATGAGCAGGTCTCAGACATGCAAACTTCAACTTTAAGCAGGAATAAATACACATGAAAACAGAGAACGGTGTGAGGACGTCTAACAGCTTCTGACAAAACATGACAGATATTTTGATAGAAGATATACAGAAACATTCTACAGCATGTTTTTGTTTGTCACCAGCAATACGGACATAAAGACATTATTGGCCAAGGTCACTTTTTTCAAGCAGTTAATCAGATATCAGAGTTGCTACCGACACCAATCTTCCTCAGGGTACACGAGTGGGTTGGAGTTTGCTTGCCGTTCGACTCTTTTACCAAACGTCCAGCAGCTTCAATAGATCATAGTTTGCCAGAAATGATACAGAGAGGCATACAGGAGCTTTACAGTAAGAGGACCAACTGAGGCATTGGCTGAAATCAAAACATGCATATACAAAAATAAAACAAAAGACAAAAAAACTACAATTGTGGCACTGTTTTAACAATTTTGTGTTCGAGTCTGCCATCGATCTACTGTATGCAGTATGCAGGTGGACGTGTCCTCCATGTTTCTGAAGGACGTCCTAATGACATGTTTCCATGCTAACACTGAACTCTGTCACCGTGGCAACACCTACACATGGGCACTGGCGGCTTCCCGTTCCTTAGCGGAGCTCTGTCACTTGCATTCAGCTCGGCAACATCTTCCGAAAACCTGACAGTGAGATGCAGACATGGAAGCAGGGGGAAGGTGAAGCCAGCGGAGAGGGAGACACACGTCTCTCCAGATTTTGACAATCGATTTTGTTGATATCTTTTGGATGAGGAAGGAGAGAGGCTGACAGATCAACTGTCCAGGATTGTTGGGGAAAGACAGTCCAGCTGCTTTTGGAGTTGCTGCATCAGGAAGAAGACGGGAGTCTAGCACCGGTCACCTGGCAGCAATCGGTCCTGCTCTGATATGCAGCGGAGAGCGTGGCATGTGGTGGCAACGTGGCAACCAAAAAGGAAAACCCACTGTGTTTCCTGTCTGATCAGAGGATGTGCTTCGAGACGTCTGGAGTGTAGAGCTGGAGGCAGGTCAGACCTGGTCCCATAGGTGCAATGCTGTGATGCTACTGCTGCTCCAACTGATCAGAAGTAAAGAGCAGGCTCGCTGCTGTAGTCTGACAGAGAGGAGCTGTCTGCTGGCGTGAGCTGAGGAGAAAGGAGACACGTTCAATATTCTGTTCAAGTCCCAGGTTTGCTTTTCTTTGAATATATTCTTAGACCTGTGTACACCAAGTAAGTTGTGTTCCTGCCCATGTATAAAAAAGCTGTATGCTACATGCATGGGAAGCTTGTGAGTTGTGTTTTTTTGTCTGTACTGTATAGTAAACATTATTTTGTAAAAAATGTTTCCCCCCCCCAAAAAATAAATAAATAACGCTTCTCTGATAAAACAGCATCATGTGCACTTTCTGAAATCCTGCTCTTTGTTTGTGGAAGGGGAAGTTATTTTTCCTTCATTCATGTACAGAAACAGCCTTACCCTCCCTTTTTATATGGTTTCCCACAGGATTACCTACTTAACATTTTTAAGCCTTTAGGGGTCTTCACTCACCATGACGTCCTCAGTCATCTGGGTCTGTTGGGAAGTGGTATCTTCCTGGTAAACACTTTCATCATGTTTGTGCTCCTGCCACGTGCTGAAATCCACTGAGTGCTTGGGAATGTAGCTGGAAAGGTCTGCAAATAATACAGCGACATTATATTCCCGTGTTAGCATGTGTTGCCGATGTTATTTTATTGTTATCCTCCACATTTTTAATAATCACTTTTTGATCATTTGTGTTGCTGTACCCCCCCATAACACATCAAGACAATTTACAGGGATGCATCAATACCGATACCACCCTCTAGTAGACTACCTGTACTTGTGGAAGGTGTCCAATACTACGTACCAATACCACTTAACGGCAACATGACCTTAACCTCACACTCTGTTCAGCTGTGTCTGTGAGCGCCCCTCCCTCCCTGTCTCACACAAACATGAGATCCCATTCTATAGAGACATCAACGCTTGAATGTGCAACAAAACCAACAGTAATGGAGAGAGTAATTAATCAAACACTTGTTGAACAAGCTGAACACACAACAACAAATGTGACATCTTCATTCTCCCTGCAGTCAAAACGCCCGGTCCCACCCACTGAACCCACACGGTGCTCATTATGCTGATTGTACGATAGTGCATTGTTGTGAACAAGAAGAAAACAAACACTCATTTTATGTAGTTAACAATGGAGTCTATCGAGCTCTGTGTAAAGAAATGAGGTGAATCCTTGTGGACTTGGAGGCTGAGAACAGCAGCTCTGCTACAGCAGTGCAGGCGTGTGTCCAGTCGGTTTAAAGTAAGAACATGTACCCTTGTCAAATTAAACATTTAAACTGCCAACTCCAATATCATGCCTCCTAAACTGTGACATTCTGGGTGGAGGTTGCGAGGATCACGGTCCTACAAAGGCTAAAACCCACTGTATTGCATTATGTTGTGTAGCAGGCTGCAGATGTTCAGTCAGTTACAGGTTCTATTCAACAGGAGTGGAGGAAGTGCTGTGCTTGTTATCACAAAAGGTTTGAAGGTAATCTGCATAGCCTCCTGTTCTATATTTTATTTCATCACAATTAGAAAGTAAATCTCATGAAAATCAAAACTGCCTCTACAGCCAGTGCACTTTTATGGTAACTGTATTTTTACAGTAGAAATACTGAATTATTATTATTATTAAGTACTTGTAGTGGTACTTGGAGTTGGCAAGTACTGAAATGTAAATACTTGCATGCGGTCTGAAAAAAGTGGCATCGTGCATCCCTAATAATTTATGCACTTTTCAATGAGCCGATGCACCAGACAAGTCATATCTAGTTGTCCATGTCCAGCAGGGGTCTCTGGCATCCCGCTTATTTTGTCTACTGGGCTACACTTGCACCATACAGTTAGGAGTAGGACAGTTTTTCTATTTTTATAAGATGCAAACAAGCAGATTTTCTTTCTGTGAATATCCTCGTTTTCACTGTGGCTGAACTCTAAAGCAAAATTAAAACAGTTTAAAAACCATTTAAAAAGCCTGGTTTTGGATCAAAACTCTGTTATATCAAAGTCAGTTCAGCTTCTCTCTGCCTAGGTTTTAAAAGCCATTATGAGGCAGGGCTTCCATCTGTAAACTGATCAGAGGTCTTCCGAGAAGACCCCCTCCCAACAACATGTACTGTAAAAGTATTTAAGAGCGGCGTCATATACACCATGATGAACTCAACACAGTTTCCACCACCTGGCTAATCTCTTTATTTGGTCATCACTGGTTCTCATGGCAAAGTGTTGAAATGTCAAATGAAAAGTAGGTTTTGACGTCATCCTTAATGAAACTTATAGACCAACTGGATGCACTACCGGATTTATCAGGAATGAATAAAAGCCATCTTTCTAACCTCTCACATGCTCTCTCTCTTTTCTCATACAGTCGCTCTTCATCCTGCTCTCTAGTAACATTTTGGTTCTTGTGTGTCTGATCTCACCACTAGATACATTACTATGGTCCTGAAAAGCAACTTGTACACTCTGCTTCTACATAGGTGCAACATAAATGCACTTTATTACAGGATTTATGTTGATTTCCACCTAATGAGGAGAAGCTCAGAGAGCATCCAAAGAACTTATCCTCTGAGGAGCATAAATGTGCTCGATAAATGTAATGACAATACGGCCAGAAAATTGAGCTTTTCATGGGTTACAAGTAGGAAATGTGACCCAAAGGTTACTTCAGAGGACACCTGAGGGAGTCACCAAAAGACGATTCATCCTCTGGGGACCACGAACAGGGTTGCTGCACACTTTTTAAAATCAATCTTAAGACTTTTTAAGACCTAAAAAAATCCACAGCAGAACAAGTGCACATTAATAGGTTTAGCATGTGTAACAATTTTCATTCAAATCAAATGATCAAATATCAAACACACATATGATCATGCAGCCCATGTATGGATAACACATCCTGCAATTCTATAGAAAACCCCACCTCATGACAGCTAAAGTATAGTGTCCAGTTTTTATTTGTGTTTTTCTACAGAGGTGTTACATTTTATGGTTGCTTTTGTGCCTGTGGTTTGTTTCTCAGCAAAGCTAACCAGACACAGTAACATAGCAAGACTTGTATTTCACTCAGTCTAAGCATCATCTCAGAATTTAAGACATCTTATGAGTAAAAATAAAGACAAAGACATTTTATGACCTTACATTTTTAAAATCAAATTGAATTAATTAAAGACTTTGTAAGGATCCACAGGAGCCCTGATGAAGACATTGGACAAAAGATGTCAATATGTTCACCTTCATATATTTAAGCAGAGTGAAGGCTACACATGTAACCTGCATTTTCATTACATAAATAAATGCAATTAAATAAATAAATACAATGAAAGGCGTTTCTTCCATTTGACATGCATTTGACACACAGTATAGATACCGGCTTTCATCAAACTCGATTTGACAGTTCTAGGTGAAAGGTTATCCAATCAGAAGCTTTGTCCCGCCCCCACATTTTTGACCCATGGGGAACATGAGACAACGAATGTCCTTGAGTTATTTATTGGGGGTAATTCTGTAGATGGTTAAAACAGAGCCTATAGCATATGTTCCTCATCACAGAGCTGTGTTTTTTATAAGAGAGGTGCAAAAACGGGGTAAAACACCTCACAGCTGTTCACCCCCCTCTCTCAGACTCGCTGCTTTATAAACCGCTCTGCTTTTCTGCTGTGTTGTACCTCTGAAAAATCATTTCCTTCAGCAAGCAGCCTGTAATAACGAGAGAGAAAAATGGCTACATCATCCACTCTTATTGAAAAATTATACGGCGTTATCAGTAACGTACCAGTGATGCTGACCGAGGAGTCAGCCTTGTCTCGAGCTCCGAAAAAAGTCACCATTCAACTGTGCAGAACTCAAAAGCCACCGAATGCTTCGCTTCATGGTGAGTTGAAATTATTGTCAGGGTATGTCGGGTACGTGTTTCAGTATACAACAGGCGAGTTGTCGCTCTACCAGCTGAGAGAGGGTGAAACTTTCACTCTGGAGACGCTGAGGACTTCAATCACGGCGAATGATTAGGGCGTCCTGAGGTGCATAGTGATGGAACATCTCATTGAAAGCTACCAA